CAAACTCACAAACTTTCAGATTTATAATATTAGTAAGATAGTTTTTTTATTTTTTTACTCTTTTGCTTGATTACATGACGAGATTGCTAAAACTATAAGACAAGTTTATTAATTTCCCTCCCCATTTCTACTAGTTTTTCTCCTTTATCATTGAACATTATTTTTGTAGTAAAAATTATTTGATGGATCGATAGAGCTATAAAAGAAATGTCGTTTAAGTAGTTCAATAATAGGTTCAGTTGTCGAGTATTGCCACTAAACAACATAGTGGTGTTGTCAACATAACAATTGTTAAGGGCGATCCTGTACCTGTATTTATTAGATTCGGAGAAAATTAAATTGTTTTCAATGTGATTTAGATAAATATCAGAAAGTATACCAGATAACAGAGAGCCCATAGCGAGACCATCGGGTTGGGAGTAAAAATTGCCATTGAAAGTAAAATAGTTTTGTTTTAACAACAGTTGGGTAATTGGCGGTAACCAATTGGCGGCCGAGTTACTCCATACACATGACAACAAATTGTATTTGAAACTGCTTTTTTATATGCGGAAGATCATCTTATTAGTTAAAATATTTTTGGTTTAAGTTTGCGGTGTGAAGCAAAAATAATATAAAAAAATCCTCGCTTAGCAACTTTTTTAAGTCAAGGTGAAATGGCTTTTAAAGATTATCAGTTTTTTTTTTTTTTTTTTTAATTTGACTTACAATTTAAATATGATTATATTTATATGGTCAGATTCTGGATTTAATGCAGATTCTGAATATAGGCTATACTATAATTGCCTTCAACCTATTGTATAGACAGCCAGGAGCGTATTAAACAACTGCGTGCATGGCTTGAGGAATTGCCTTATCAGCATTGGGTCCATCATGGTGGTGGGGAAAGGTTGCCGAAACTGCACACTTTTTATCCCACATCTCCTATTTTAGTCCAGTCAATGAATGATCCAAAAGTAGGTGTAGAGTGCGTGAGCAGGTAACTAAGCGATTCCTTCAGAAACTTGTTCAGGGGGCTTAGGGTGTTAACATACCAAAAGTCCTGACTCCTAGGTGGTGAGCCAGGGGGTGGAGGGGGGGAAAAGGGGGGAAAAAAGGTACGCATTTTGGGGTTTTTGGTTATATCTCGAAAACTATCAACTTTTTGTATACTTTAGTAAATTATAAAATTGAAGAAGATTAAATTTTCTACAAGAAAAGTATATAATGTGTTTATTTTGGTTCAACAGATTACGAGTTATAACTTATTTAATTGATATCTTATTAAAATACTCCTTCCATAAGAAATACATGTAAATTAGTATGCGAAATGGGGCGAATCCTATCCGCCCAAAGGAAATATAACTGATATTCTGGAAATCTTGACCAAATTTCCAGTAATTTGACACTTAAATCATGAAATTTTGTCAAAAATTAAAGCGAGGGTGAGCGTTTAAAAATGGGATGATTTAAGGTTTTTTTTTTATATTTCCAATAAAAAAACACCAAAACTCGACATTTTGTTACCTCGCCCTCGCCTTAATTTTGGATCAATTTTAATGATTAAAGTGTCAAATTACTGGATATTTTGTCATGATTTCCAGAATATCAGTTATATTCCTTTGGGCGGATAGGATTCGCCCCATTTTGCATACTAATTTACATGTATTTCTTATGGAAGGAGTATTTTAATAAGATATCAATTAAATAAGTTATAACTCGTAATCTGTTGAACCAAAATAAACACATTATATACTTTTCTTGTAGAAAATTTAATCTTCTTCAATTTTATAATTTACTATAGCATACAAAAAGTTGATAGTTTTCGAGATATAATAAAAAAACCCAAAATGCGTACCTTTCTCCCCCCCCTTTTTCCCCCCTCCACCCCCTGGCTCACCACCTAGGAGTCAGGACTTTTGGTATGTTAACACCCTAAGCCCCCTGAACAAGTTTCTGAAGGAATCGCTTAGTTACCTGCTCACGCACTCTACACCTCATTCCTTGACTGGACTATTTACCGGGTGTTCCAGTTGTATGAGTTATTTCGATGTTTATCAGTTAATGAAGTAAAATTTCACCAATTAATTACAAAATGAATATAGTATTTAGGTCTAAAAATGGTTACTTATAGCACTTATAATGACCATGGTAATCTGCCATAACTACGGCAATACCATGATATATGCTTTCTTTTTACTATTCAATAAAATTAAAAGATAACAAAGAAACTGCTCCTAAAGAATAGACAATTCTCCCACAGGCTCTTAGCAGTTATTAAACATTTCCCAGTTCCATACAAATTGAATATAATTATGTTAGGTGCCTACGCCTTACCGACATTTTCCTAGTCCTAATTTAAACGAAAAATCCTCTTAACACTAAAATAACAGGGTGTATACCAACCGGGAGAACCGGGGAAAACCTTGAATTTGAATTGACCTGGAAAAAACCGGGGAAAAGCCGGGATTCTTGACCAAATCTGAGATTTTTACCTTAGCCCCGGTAGAAGATTGCAGTCATAAAACTCGTCTTGCCACAATTGCTGACGACGTCAATGTCCGCGGGAGACGACGATGACGTTTCCGTGACCGTAGGATGCGACGATGACATCTACATGGCCGCGGAAAATGTTTATGATTTTGTCGCGATTGCGGACAACAACGATGACGTTTCCGTGACCGCGGGAGACGACGATGTCATCTACACGGCCGTGGGAAATGTTCATGATTTTGTCGCGATTGCGGACGACAACGATGACGTTTCCGTGACCGCGGGAGACGACGATGATGTTTACACGGCCGCGGGAAATTTTCAATCATGATTTTGCCGAGATCGCGGACGTCGACGATTACATTTCCGTGACCGTGGGAGACGACGATTACATTTCCGTGACCGTGGGAGACGACGAAGATGTTTACACGGCCAGAATGTGATGACGTTTACGTCACTGTGGGAAAGAAACACAAGAAATATATAGGATTTTGCTGCTGTCGAGAGAGACGATGTTTCTGAGGGCTTTTTAATAATGAAGATAATACAAATTATTACCATAATAAGGTTTATTATTTTTTCAACACTAGCTCACTGAACTTTGAAACAACTTTGATGTATATTCTTAAGCTTCTTATAAGCTGCAAGTCTTAAATTGGATATCGATTAAGTGGAACTAAACACATACTCGGATCGGAAATCAATATAATGTTCACGTGGGAAACATTCACGCGGGAACCTGGAAAAACTAAAAAAAAAACAGGGAAAATCCTGGAATTTCACTTTAAATAATAGTATACACCCTGAATAATAAAGTTCTAAATGAAAAAAATATATACATATAATTATAAAATACACAGAATAACTAGTTTTTCTTTAAGGGACTGGGGACCGAGCTTCGCTTGAGGAAAATCGTTAGTATCCTCTCTAAGAGTATTCTTTTGTCAATGCAATTTATCCAAAAATACTTTGTAGTCTTTTTAATTGCTGTACAATAGTAATATCATAGTTGATTTTGATTTGTAAGCAACATTTTTATGACAGCAAACCTGCAGACTAAGCAAATTTCCATCTACCTGGCTGGAATTCCACTAAATTATTCCCTTAAAATTGTCAGATTTATTTCATATTTAAATATCATTAATTTCAATGAGTATAAAGGTTTGCTGCTACAGGGTTTTCAGGGTGAAACATTTGAAGAACCCATTTTTACCCTTTAAATCCCCCCATAAACCCCGGTTCCCATAGCCTGGTTTTGGAACTCGTTTGAAAAAATGTAGGTTTACAGGTTTACACCAAATTTGATCGAAATCTAATCATTTTTGTTCGAGTTATCATGCCAACAAACACATATATGGTTTTATACATATATGAATTTGAACGGATGGTGTTTTTGGCCTCTGGGGACCTAAAAACGACCTCTTACCACGAGACCTACAGTAATAGCTTATTCCCTATATGGCCTATATGGGAAATTTGCTTACAGGATAGCTTTTAATTTATAACTAATACCTAAAAGAAGTTGAAGTAAATTCTAACAGGCAAATTTTTTACCTTGTGTTCAAACATATATTTTATTTACAACCGGTACCGTCGCTATGTCTGGCCCACCTCGTTTACTCCATACATCTTGCGCTTTACCGACTTTTTCCTTGTTGTCGTAATTCACTTACAGTTCTCAGTTTAGTTGGTCGGCTGTACACCCTGGATAGTTGAGTTCGTGGCTCAGTCGATAGCGTCACCGACTTCAGGCCCAAGGCAGCAATGTCGTGGGTTCGGATTCTGGTCACTGCCGCAAAACATTTTATCAGTAGACTTCACCTTCGTACTGAGTAATGGCTCTCCCTTTGCTTTACTGGATCAGTTCTACCCACCATAGACTAAGAAGATAAAAGTATTTTATTTATTTTATTTATTTAACTTTTATTTCCATAGTCTCTGGTTCCAAGCACGGGAAAATCTTGTACAGTCTAATGGTGGGATATAAGGCAAAATGCAAGGTTAAATGAGGACGCAAACCTTTAAAAAAATGTTCAAAAACATATAGTTTTTCTAGTAATTGTACAGCAAAATTTCTTTGGAAAACATGTTTTGGACAGTGTTCAGATTTGAGGTGTTTGTATTAATTAACAGGATTTATTTTAAATATTGACCATGACAGCAAACCCCTGATTTTGGATAATATGATATTGACCTTGTACAAATTATTAGAATATTGTGAATTGATTGTTAAAAACCAGTATTAACTGATTAATACATTTTTATACAATGTACATAAAAATGAATGAAGATATTTTAATTTAATTGAATATAATAAGGTATGATCATTTTCGGAAGTAAAGACAGATGAGTTCCTACATATGAAAAGAGAATCTAATTTAAACACAAAAAACTAAATGAGATAACCCTGGTGTATTAGGCTTCTTTAAAGAATCGCTCTAAACATTATGTTTTCCCTACACTAACTAAATTTAGCATTTTCTTTTGTTTAAGTAGAATTTAAATTACATTGAACATTTTTGTTCTAGGTTGAGAGAGTAAAGGGAATAAAACAAGAGATTAAACAATTTTAAGAATTTATATAATACAATAGAAGAATACAAGAAAAAAGACTGAAAAAGATAATACCGTAAGAAAAAAGATAAGACTCACTCAAATATATTGTAAAATACCTAACATACATAGCAAGATTTAATTACGAGAACATTTAATCTTGAATGAGAAAGCAAGCATATCATGTATCTGCTATACATTTTAGAAGTCCTACAACACAAGATTACGATTTAAAATATATACAAACCCCTCTGACTATTGACTTTCCCGATTAGTAGTTTTATATGATGAGTTTCACAGGGATAAAAAGTGCAAGACAGGATCTGCTAACTCACAAAACAAACTTTCCTCTCAAGTGTCCAATATGTGAGCAAAACTGTTCAACCTTATTCACAATGAAGGTTCATATGTTACATCACACTGGAGAGCGTCCCTTTAAATGTTTGACATGTGAGAAAACCTTTTTCCAACTTAATCATGTAAAGAGTCATTTGCTGGTACACCATGGGAAGTGTCCTTATAAGTGTACTGCATGTGGGAAATCCTTTATATCCAAAAGCCATATGGCGAGGCATTCATTGGTTCATACAGGTGAGAGACCTTATAAGTGCTCTACATGTGGGAAATCCTTTATATCCAAAAGCCACTTGAAGACACATATTGCAATGGTTCATACAGATGAGAGACCTTATAAGTGCACTTTATGTGGAAAATCCTTTGCATTTAAAAGCCAACTAAAGAGACATATTGCAATGGTTCATTTAGGAGAGAGGCCTTATGAGTGCATTACATGTGGAAAATCTTTTGCATTTAAAAGCTGTATGAATACACATATTGCAATGGTGCATACAAGAGAGAGGCCTTATAAGTGCACATCGTGTGAAAAATCATTTACAATCAAAAGTGATCTGAAAAGACATTTATTGGTTCATACAGGTGAGAGGCCTTACATTTGCCCTACATGTGGAAAATCCTTTACAACCAAAGGTGTATTGAAGACACATTCATTGGTTCATACAAGAGAGATACCTTACGAGTGCACTATATGTGGAAAATTCATTGCATCAAAAGGCTATATGAAAATACATACATTAATGCATAAAGGAGAGAGGCCCTATAAGTGCACTACATGTAAAAAATCCTTCACAACCAAAAGTGATATGAAAAGACATTCACTAGTTCATATGGGGGAGAGACCTTACAAGTGCTCTATGTGTGGAAAATCCTTTGCAACCAATAGTGATATGAACAGACATTCATTGGTTCATACAGGAGAGAGACCTTACAAGTGCTCTATATGCGGAAAACTATTTGCGACTAACGCCGTTATGAAGACACATACTAGACAGGTTCATACAGGAGAGAGACCTTATAAGTGCACTTCATGTGGAAAATCCTTTACAACCAAAGGTGGATTGAAGAGACATTCATGGGTTCATACGGAAGAGAGACCTTACAAGTGCCCTTCATGTGAAAAATCATTTGTAACCAAATATGAAATGAAGCGGCATTCATTGGTTCATACAGGAGAGACCTTACAAGTGTACATGTAGGCCTAGAAGATTCTTTGCATAAAAAAATGATGACAAATATATTGGTTCATACAGGAGAGAGACCAATAAGTGAACTCCATGTTGAAAATAATTTGCATCTAACTTTGTTATGAAGAGACATCTGTTTATACAGGAGAGAGACCTTATAAGTGCTCTACATGAGGAAATTCCTTCAGAACTATAGGTGAATTGAAGAGACATTCAATCATAGGGGAGAGAGACCTTACAAGTGCACTATTTGTGGAAAACTCTTTGTGTCTAACAACTTTACGGTGTACGTCCAGAGTGCACGCCAATTCAGATTCAGAATCTGATTCGGATTTTCGGTGCTTGGTTAATCTGAGTCAGATATTTTGTTGGTGGCCACATTGGAAGCAGGAAATTTGCCGCAGGTACTGACTCTGTAAGTAAAGAAACAAGTTAGTCGCTCTTATGGAATTGTTGGATGAGGAATTAACGTGTAAAATTATAGTGTCTGAAACTGTTGTGAAGTTACAGCAGGTGAAACCACCAAACTTATTAAAATTGGACATCACATTGTAAGAAACTGGTGTAACCTTCATAAACAAAAAAATCCTGAAGACCGTTTAGTGGTAACCCTCAAAGTAAGAATGAAAAAAAATTATTTTGCCATAAAAACATAATTTATTGAACTAAATTGTAATGTGAATCTGGCACCAGAATGAAGAATTCATTCCTGCCTGCACGCGGGCTCGGAAACCGGCAGCCACTACTGCCACTTCCATTTGAATGCAAGTGCCATTCCTGCCACCGAAAATCTGAATCTGAATCAGGGTGCACTCTGGATGTACCGTTATGAAGACGCATACTAGACAGGTTCATACAGGAAATATACCTAAGTGCTATTCATGTGGAAAATCCTTCACAACCAAAGGTGAGTCACAGTAACTCAAAGTAACCAAAGAGGTTTGCCATAATGCTTTAGTTTTTTGGAAGCTTTACGTGTGCTCTTTGCTTTCTTTGGGGGTTCTCTCTAAAGTTACTTGAAATTTAAGGATTTTAAAAGTTGCCCTATAGATATCCTTGAATTTCACAGAAAATAAAGTGATTCTTAAAGTAATGTTAAAAGGAGTATTCAATGGCATTTTCAAGTGACTGAAAGGAATATCAAGAAGACAAGGACATCACCTAAAGGATTTTGTTTTTAAGAAATGGAAAAATGACTTTGTTAAGTTAAAATGGCAAAAGATAAGCTGTGTTTTGATGTGCTATTTATATGTATAGGGTAAATAGTATTGAATTTGTACTATTTATAAATATGGGCGCTTTCATTGCGTCACACTGTACTTATGGTGGAAATAATGCATAATAAAATATACTGGTCATAGACAGTTAGTATATTTAATTGTTAAAAGTAGTTTCTTACAGATGCTTTAGGCTCCTGGTTTAACATTATTCAGAACTTTCTTTTTAAGTTTAAGGATTTTATCAAGGTTTGGTGCACTCGTGCCCCCATAGATATCTAGATGACAGTTGAGTGTATTTGAGCAAAATAAATACATTTTCAAGTTTCTAGATTAAACAAAAATTACATTCTTTTTAAGACGAGTAATCCCAAAGAATTTGTTTTCGCTAAATGTAGAACATGTAAATTCCAATTCAAATGATTAGATCCACTAACATAAACATAAAAATATTGTGAATTTTATTGTCTCTTGACTTGGATCGATATGAACATTTCCAGATTGTCTTTATGTTGCACTGTTTTATTTACAAGAACATTTTATTTTTCCCTTCATGATTTAAAAATTAACTGTTTTTAGAGGAATAAGATTGAAAAAATTTGAAGTATTCATTACACACTATTTCAAAAATTTCAAGATCATTATAAGATGTAGATGATGTTATCAAATTTGAATCGTCAGCAGCATACAGAACTAACCTGCTATTGATACCATTAAAACTTTTTAATATAGAGGGCATTCCTTGTACATAAAACAAGAATAACAAAGGTCAAAGAATAGAACCTTGTGGAACTCCATGTTTGATGTTTATTACTTTTTAGTTATGTTTTAAGATTTTACCATTTGTTTCTTACACAATCTCAACATACTGTATTCTATTAGAGAGATATGATTCAAACCAATGTATATAACGTTCTGTTATACCCAGATATTGCAATTAACTTAAAAGTATTTTGTGTGAGATACTTTCAAAAGCTTTTGTAAGGTCCATAAAAACACTAACTACTTTGTTTCCTTTATCAACTGCATCAATTATAGTGCCTGTGTCTGTAAAATCCATTAAAGTAATAGTTATAGACTTGCCTTTTCCAAACCCAAGTTACTCATTATCAAAGAAATCATTAGCTCATCACATCACACATTATTCGTTCTTAGACCTGATTTATAAATAATATGAACATATTTGATAGTGATCAACATAGAGCACACGTTTTTCTGAATACACAAGAATTTAAAAACTCATGTTTTGAAGGACAGTATGAGTCAGGTATAACAATTTTTCGTTATTAACATTAGATCAATAAGAAAAAATTGGATCAGTTTTTGATTTATTTTTATAAAGGTTTTGCATTTGTGGACATAATTATATTTACTGAAGTTAATGTAAAAGAAACTCTCTGACATTCTGAAATTTTTAATATTAAGGGATATAGCATAGCCTAGTGCTTAATTTAAGACAAATAAAAAAAAGGTGGAGGTAGGCCTATTGTAATTTTTATTAATGAAAACATTTTAGTACATGGGTTAGATGTAAACAGTAGTCTAGTAGTTTTGAAAGCAAAGTAATTAATGTCACAAAAATATTTATTTTATAAATATTGTAGCCACATGAGTTGTTGCATTGTTATTCTTCTTCTTGATTTTTGCACAGATCGCTTACAAATCCGTATTAATCCATCTAATAATCCGTCTAATTAATTTTAACAAGCCTCCTCCCTCTTTGATACCAAAGATGACATTTTACTCAGCACAGTAATTTCCAACACCTCCAAACTGAAGTAGCCGCTACAACTCGCCATATGTGACCGGAAGTTTTTTCAAGCCTGCGAGTACGAGTGGCGACTAATAGCAGCGAGTAAACTCGCCATGTGTGACAGGGCCTTTTAAACAAATTTTCAAAAAGAGTTTGAAAATTACTAGTTCCAACTTTTTTAATAGATTGCCAACTGAAAAAGAAAATATAACTAGTTTTAGAGTCTTGAAGTCTAGGCTTAAGCATTGTTATCTCAATGAATCCATTTAAATATTGTTTATTAAATTACTTACATATAATATTATTGTTTAAGTAAAAATCATTTCATGCATGTTATTTACTTTAATATTGTCATCTCAAGGAATCCATAGAAACTCGTTAAATTGTTGTTATTATAATTTATTTAATTATTTACGTATTGTTGTATTGTTATATCATTTTATCCATTTCAAATCTGATTGAATATTGTTGCCAAAATTACTCATTATATTATTGTTAAAGTTGAGAAGTACCTATTTAATGCATGTTATTTTTTGTTAAATATTTATTTATTTAAGATATTTGTTTCAAGTTCTTGTTATAGCAAATTAATGTTAGTCTTCTATAAAAAGGTAGAGTATAAGTGGAAACAACAATGATAGCAGATCTTGACAAGAAAAACAAGAGACAAGGAAAACCAAAGTGTATGGATAAGGACTGACCAAGGGACAAAGTAGATTGTTATCAAGAACATGTTTTTCTCTATGAGCTGCAGATAAGCAAAATTGTCCTGGCTTTTGAAACAAGTTGTTTATAAAATTCTGTAAGATTTTGTAATTTTTCAAATAAATAAAAAAAGTTATTTACCAAGTGATCAACGTTGTTCATTACTCTTTCATATATTTTAGATATATAAGTCAACAAGGACACAGGTCGATAATTACCTTAGTCTTTCCCCTTGTAAAGTCTGGTTGCCTCTTTTCCTTCCTACAGGTTAAAGACCTACGAACAAATTTAACCAAACTAAAGAATAACTTCAAGGGGGGATTTAGCATAAAGGTAGAGTATTCACTAGATGGAGGACCTCTGGGCCTGTAGAATAAGTGAACACCAGTGCCAGTATGATATCATGATTTAATAAATCTAACGAAAAGTGCAAACCATTGATAAGTACATAAAATAAAGAGAATTGTTACACAGTGATATAATAATTGAGAAATAGTAAACTGGCAAATAAAACAGAAATAATATCATTGAATACCTACACCCTATATTTTGTTTTATTAATCAAATCTGATTCTCATACATCAGACTTTTAATTTGTTACCTGTGTTAGACTATTATGGCCTATCAATCCATAAGGTCTTTAACTGTTAAATCAAAAGAACTCTCTCCTGCTAGGTCTTGTGTGCAACTCATGAAAAGTTCACCTGTCTTTGGCAGAGTTAGTGGGAAATGTCTACCTAAGTTGGACTACCACTACTTGCATGGAAAGTGACAACCTTGAAAGTTCTGCTTAACTTCCAAGGGCCAAGCTTCCAAGGGACAGCTGTAGAGATAACAAGTTATAAGATTTACCAACAGGGTGCAGCACTATATTTTTTGCATTTATGAAAACAGCCAATCTTACTAATATTATAAATGTGAAAGTTTGTTTGTTTGTGTGTTTGAAGTTCAATTACGCATAAACCACTGGACGGATTGGGCTGAAATTTTGCATGATGATAGCTTACACATTCCCGATTAACATATAGGCATATTCTTATCTCAAAAATCCTTTCGGGCTCCGCCCCAGTGGCTCTGTAATTCCCCATGTTAACCTTATGAGTATTCATATTTAAAGGGAATGAAAGAATTTAGTCAGCTGTTTCAACTAAAAAAAGTTGATTCTATGATATAAAAAAACATTAAAAAGTTATAAGATTTACCAACAGGGTGCAGCACTATATTTTTTAGCAATTACAAAAACAGCAAATTTGAACTAAGCAGCAATAAAAAACTGTGATTCGCAATGAGAACTGTCAAAATAGGATTGTTTACAGTTATGTTTATGTATTTCATTTCATGAATAATTTGTGATATTTTACGAATTGTTGATAATTTATTTTTCTCTATTGTTTAGGTGAAGTGGTAGAACATTATGGCTATGGTAGATGTGTAATACTATAGAATACTGTAAATTTAAAAAGCAAATTTTATCAAACTGATTTTGCATAGCCTATAACGCTTGGTCCCTGTTATTCTTGTGAATTTTTACCAAATTTATTTTCATATTAACTTAAGTTATTTACATAGTTCAATTTACTCACTAAGATTACACCCTTTTTAGCATCAAGCTAAATTCCATTCTACCTCCATTTCAGGGTATGACTTTATTAAAAAAATTTAAATTAATAACAAATTAAGTTCGCCTCATAAAGAAGGATTTTCATGCATTCATTAATTAAAATGTGCAAGGAATGGAACTGGAAAGCGTGGATGCTATGAAATCGTGACGTCGAGCCTACGTCACGGAGTGTCCCGTGAGCCTTGCGGGAACTCAACACGAAGAAACCCAGTCAGTCAGTCTCCACTCTCCAGTCCAGATCAGCATTAGACAATAGAATAGTGAATAGTATCATTGACTGAGGTGTATAGTCATTAGTCAATGATAGTATACATCAACCAACGCAACAACAAACAACACAACACAAAACGATTCACGAATCAATCAGTTCAGTTGTCAGGTTGTCTGGTTGTCTCTATTGTCAGTTAATTAATCTGTCTGTCTAGTGTCTATGGCATTAGTTAGTTTCACCACCATTGGGATTGGATTCACGTTTTACTTAAGTTCATACAAATCAATCAATTAGAATAATTGTTTTGTTTATACAAAATATACACAGGAACAGGATCAACTAAACAAGCTGAAGCTGAAGCTGCATTAGCCTACATAATTGATAGCCTAGGACTGTATTCTCAGTGCTACGGTTTATGTTGATTACAAGCCTTATACAGGTAAATTAATATAACATCCTCTTCCCATCCGTTGGTGTTAGGAAGCCTACTAATATAGGCCTAACACGTTAAGATCTTAATAATAACACTTTACTTCACAGAGTATGCGTCCGGTAACCGGACGTGGATTAGGCGTCCGGCAGTTACTGTCATAACCTAACCTAACCAACCAAACTTGCTGATAGTAAAAAATCGATTGAAGGTTAAATTCTGTTCATAAAATAAAATTTTAAATGCTAAAAATTCTAACAAAAGATGTACAGTTAAGAAGAAATGCTAACTTATTCAAAGCAAAATCTTCGACTAAATGTTTAAGTTACCGATGGGTTTCAAACCAGGGACCTCTAGCATATCAGCGATAACTCTATCCACTTAACCACGAACACCATTATCCATTATTATTTAGTTGTACATCATATCGTTGTGGTAGGCCTAATGGCGTTTGGGGCTCTACAACCAGTGACGTCACTGCTAGACGCCTAATTTAATCCACGTCTGGTTACCGGACGCATATCCTCTGTGTAATAGCTTAGAAGGCCTACAAAAATACGGTAGGCCAAGTAAATTTACTAAATTTTGAACTTGCCATTAAGTTGCCATCTTGGGTTAGGCAATATGCCTAGACGTATTTAGGCCTAGTAGCCTATTTAATATTAAACATACGTAACTTACTAACATACGTTTAGAGATGTGATGAGTTGAGTATATCCTTGACTGGAGTCAGACTCAACTCGGTATAGTGACACAACTGTCGAGTTCGGTTTGACTCGCAGCGCAGCCAACAGCCTGGGTATTCAGTTTTAAGTTAGTTTGGTGAGTCGGCTCAACTCGTTGGCTTATCAGCCAATAGCTTTTAACTTTTGCGAGTACACTCTTTACGTTCAGAGTTTGTAAAGGTTCGGCTTTCTCCGCATGAGTTTGGTTGCTTGACTCGCTTTGAGGCTGTGAGCCAATACATAAGTTAGCGTTTAAGTTAAGGTTTGTGAGTCTGACCCCAGCCACCTCTAATACAAGGCCGCAGCGAGCAAAAAGTGGCAACGTCGCATCTGTGTCTTGGCGAGCGGTCGTCTTGCCATTACTCAAATCAAATCAATCAAATAAGCTTTAGGCCTATTCATAAGGTACACATTGAAGGGCGTCAACCAAATCTATCTTAACTTAATAGGGTAATTTACAAAATTGCATATCTTGGATCATTAACTTATCTACATTAAAAACCTTGAACCAGTAAATGAAAATAATCAAAATTAAATCAATTACTAACGCTAAGAGGGAGGGTGGAAAAATACTCGTCCAGGGAATAGAACGCTTTCTCTAGGCCTACTAAATAAAGTTTTAGTTTTCTCACTAAATTCTTCCTGCTTTGTTCATTTCTAATTTCATTAGGAAGATGCTTAAAACATTTTAATTCTATAGGCCTATAGTATGGTTTTTTTCATAGAATTTTAATTTATGTTTACTTGAAATAAGGAATTTTTTATGCCAAGAGTTGTATGGGTGATAATTTGTCTCAGAGGTGCGCAAGCAGTTTTTTGCAAGAATAATTGTGTCATGGTAAATAAATTGGCCATATAAACTTAGGCTACCGGTACCGTTAAAATTTTCAGTTCTTTAAATTTGTTTTTGGTTGTTTCGTTGTTTTCTAATTTCAAAATTAATTTTAAGTATCCTATTAGCGAATTTCCCATATAGGGCATAAGCTATTACCGTAGTACCGGTACTCTTGGTAAGACCTGGACCCAGGACCGATTAATTTTTTGTTTTGAGGTCCCTAGAGGCCAAAAACACCATCCGTTCACATTCATATATGTAGGCTATATATGTGTCCGTTAGCGCGATAACTTGAGCAAAAATGATCCGACTTTGATGAAACTTGGTACAAACGTGTAAACCTACATTTATTCGAACAAGTTCGCAAACCAGCATAATCGGACCATGGTAACTGGGGTTTATGGGGGGTTTTATCGGGTAAAAATGGGTTTTCCCCATTTTTTGACCCTAAAAAAATCTTGCAATTCCTTTTTAAACCGCATTGTAGAGCTTAAAAAAGTAAATAATGTTGTATATTGAAGTGGTCTTGTATGCCTAATGGTCGCAGAGAAATTTTAAAAATAGTGTAAAAAGTTCCCATGTTATTCTTAAGGTGAAAATGAAAACTGTTGTTGTAGTTTACTTGTTTATGGATATATATTGATAATACCCCCGCCGCAGTAAACCTGCAGACTAAGCGAATTTCCATTTGACTGATTGGATTTACACTGAAATGTCTACTTAAAAATATAACATTTATTCTCTATTTAAATACTTAGGTTTGCTGCATCAGGGAGGGTAAAACTGTTTTTTTTTTTTTTTTGTAAAACGTTAATAGTTAGTAAGAAATAAAAACATTTTCCAAATTTGATCAAAATATGTTCATAAACAAGCAAACTACAACAATTTACTTATTCTCCATAAAAATAACATGGGAATTTTAAATTTACAATTTTTTGGAATTTTCTCCGTAACCATTAGGCGCATAATAACGCTTCAATATACTAAATTATTTGTTTTTTTAAGCTCTTCAAAATGGTTGGGAAAGAAATTGCTAAATTTTATGTTTTTGGGTCAAAAATGGGAAAAACCTATTTTTACCCCATAAAACCCCCCGTTTCCATGGTCCGATCATGCTGGATCGCGAACTCGTTCAAATAAACGTAGGTTTACACGTTTGTACCAAATTTCATCAAAATCGGATCATTTTTGCTCGAGTTATCGTGCTAACGGACACATATATATATATATAAATATATAAATATATAAAAATATATATATATATGAATTTGAACGGATGGTGTTTTTGGCCTCTAGGGACCTCAAAATGAAAAAAAA